TTTGTTTAGCGCGATTAATTGGCAAATTGCTGTTGTATCGCTCCATTTGTTTAGCGCGATTAATTGGCAAATTGCTGTTGTATCGCTCCATTTGTTTAGCGCGATTAATTGGCAAATTGCTGTTGTATCGCTCCATTTGTTTAGCGCGATTAATTGGCAAATTGCTGTTGTATCGCTCCATTTGTTTAGCGCGATTAATTGGCAAATTGCTATTGTATCGCTCCATTTGTTTAGCGCGATTAATTGGCAAATTGCTGTTGTATCGCTCCATTTTTTTGGCTCGATTAATTGGCAAATTTCTGTTGTATCGCTCCGTTTGTTTAGCGCGATAATGTTGTGGATTTTGATGATATTTATCACGTTTTTTAACACAATAATGTTCTGAATTCTCTTTATATAAACAACGTCTTTTAAAACGTTTATTTTCTAAGTTCTGCTCGTCTAAGCAACGTTTTTTATTGCAATTAATATTATCCGACTCTTCCTGATTTTCGGAATACTCCTTGTTATTATCACATTTATTACTATTTGGATTAGTCCGAGTATTATTATGTGTATATTTAACTATTTCTTTTATTAAAATTTCCTTTGAAACACTTTGTGTTAACTGTCTATTTTGTTCAGTCATAATATTATTGTATGTATGTGTAACTACTTCTTTTATTACATCCTTTGAAACATTTTGTGTAAATTGCATATGTTTAATATCATGATTTTTTTTCAAATCTTTTTGATTTTCAGAATATTTATTATGTTGTTCAGTCTGAACATTATTAATTTCTTTCGAAACGTTTTGTGGTAATTGTACTTCTTTAGTCATATTTCGAAGCGTTTGTAAAGCATTATTATCACAAGATTTCCTTAATGATTGATGACGTATTGTACGTTTACGAGTCGCTTCAAATTCTCTTGCTCTTATTACTGCTATTGGAAGTACTTTTTGAGCATATTGTGGATCTTGAGGGAAATGCTCAATTACATTTGTTTTGAGAATTTTTATTAAATGCGAACGCATTAACTCATGTTCATATTTCACTTTATCAGATTTAATGTTAAATAATAATGAAATCGCAAAAGCTATTGCAAAAACACCACAATCACTATAGTTCGGTTGACATTGCACAGTAGGAAATTTTATTTTATCAAAATTATACATTGGGAATAATCTTTTTAAAAATTGTTCGTGATGTTTGTGCAAAGTTTTATTATTTAAGGAATCATATATAAATATATTTTTTCTATCATAATAGCTACACACCCAATGTCCATCTGATGGACCAGATGAACTGTGTAATATTTGTATGTGCTTTTTATGTATCGGAATTGGTCGTATAGTATCAGGTATTTGTATTTGCAATGTATTAGCAGGCGTGTAGTCTGAACAATTTCGTAAAATTTGGTGAAAATGTTCTATATGTTCGTCTGTAAGCCATTCACCTCGTTTAATTATGTCTCTATTGGCAGACGTTAAAATAATATTCTTTGTGTGTATACTACACATTTTAATACAAATAGTCGAACAATACTATTTCTTAACAAATATATATATATATATATTGGCGCACAGCAGCCTCTTATTGGCGCACAGCAGCCTCGTATTGGCGCACAGCAGCCTCGTATTGGCGCACAGCAGCCTCGTATTGGCGCACAGCAGCCTCGTATTGGCGCACAGCAGCCTCGTATTGGCGCACAGCAGCCTCGTATTGGCGCACAGCAGCCTCGTATTGGCGCACAGCAGCCTCGTATTGGCGCACAGCAGCCTCGTATTGGCGCACAGCAGCCTCGTATTGGCGCACAGCAGCCTTATTTATATTTCTCTCTTAACTTACTTTTCTTCTGAACCTGCAAAAGTAAAAAAGATAAATGATTAAAACAGATGTTTAAGAATGTTTCTTGTTATAAACTATAGGGAACTCTTTGTCTCGTCAAAAGGAAGAGGGAACTCTAATCTGAACTCACTAATACTATAGTTGGGGTGCTAACTTAACACACCCTTTAAAAAGTAACTTCAATGCTTAATATCTGAAAAACTATAACAGACCGCCACCTAATTGTTAAGGTAAAGTTGCTCAGAATCATGACCTTGACAACTATGTCAAGGTCAAGGTCATCGGAGCTGGGTCCCTAAAAGTAAATATTTACTAGTCTTCCATCATTTTGCAAATTGGATGAATTTCTTAGATATAAAAATAGGATCGGAGAATCATCTTCGACTTGTACAAAGAAACAATTCAGGGAGATATCTCAAGTTCAACTCAAATCATCCAATATGCTATAAAAAAAGTATAATAACATCCTTAACCCTTGCACATCCAAAATTTTACACCAAAAATATCATATACTTTACACCAAAAACATCATTAGCATACAATTTAAACGATAAAAAGAATACTGATAAAGAAAATACATTAGATTAGTACCTTACTTAAATAACATCTTTGAAAAATTTAAGAATATAATATTATTAATAATAAAAATTGCAGCATTACTTAAAAACCTATGAGTAGCCTAAACAAATTCATAAAAACAGAAAATGACAAATTATAAAACAGATAACACAAATGTCATTTATAAAATAATTGCTCAGATCGAGCATCAAGCAGTAGTGGAGGGATAAGAGGCAGCATCTGCAAGAATCGGCTCGAAATGTGCAAGCACTGGCTTAAGCCGGTATTCATAGTAAATTCTTATATTCAAGACCGTCTTAAGTTCAGTCTTGAGGTGTTACGAACCAATCAGAGGGCCGCATTAGCATCTTAAGACATTACTTAAAGCAGTCTTGAAATGACTATGAATACCGGCCTTAGACTGTGTAGCTCATATGTAGGACAGACCATAAGAAAATTAAAAACCAAAATAAGACAGACATAAAATACTAATCACTAACTCAATCAAAATCATCATCAAATGGACTGGGATAACATTTATATTTTAGATTCGGAAACTTCTTTTTATAAAAGATCAATCTCAGAAATCTTTTCACCGATTTACATAACGATTTATAGTTTAGACCATCTCTACCATTCTCCAAAGTTACAAGATCTGATTGGAAATATGTGAAATCAACTCATCAAATTGTTAAAATATAGGAAAATTCAAACATTAATTTTATCTTAAACTAATGACAAATAAATCAAATTGTTTCGTCTTAAAATTATATTCTAACAAAAACAGAATACAACACTGAATTCAAGAAATGCGTTATAATTTTTTATAACAGTGAAGCTTTGCGATTAACTTACTACATCTAACGAATTAAAATTGAAATTTAAAGAGATTCTTATGAAATTTAGGGAGATTCTTATACTTGTAATAATTGTTTATATCTAAAATTTTAAAATTGAGACACAAGGAGATTCTTATACTTGCAATAAGTGTTCTAATTCTTTTTTTATATTATTTATTTGCTGAGTAATTACAAAAATATAGACACAGAGAAACATTCTCAAACATAAATCCCATAATATCAAACTAAATTGGTTATTTACAACAAAAAAAACAATATAAATTATCAATTGAGAACCGACACTAGTTAGTAATGTGTAACAATTTAAAAAAAATGAAAGCACTTTTATTATACAATTTTAGTATTTCCTGTCGATTGAGCGTATGTAGAACTTGATCGGTTCAGCCGTTACTGAGATCTGATCATCTCGACTCCGAAAAATTCTCAGTTTCGCGTAAAGGAGGCACGGCAGTGTCGCGCGCTTGGCTTAGCGCCGAGACACTACCGTGTCTCCAGATTCTAAAAAAATAAAGTCTAAACGTTTCGACATAGATTTTGGTCCTCTTCAGTACAATTACATAAAGAAATGAGATATAGAATGTGTGTCTTATTAACTTAAATAGATAAAACTTACATCCGCGAAAAACCGAAATTTTAACCTTTCTACGCTCGATAAAAGGCTTATCATATAAGCTAACTGAAAAGGAAACTTTTCAGACATTATTTCTCTCGCCTAAATGAAGGTATTTAGCAATTTATAGCTTCGTCGGAATTTTTTCATTTTTACGCCCTTTTTTGTTCTAAAGTGACTGAATTATTATGACGAATTTTCGTTTCGCGAAAACGTAAAGTTGACACCCCAAAATTACAAATCATGTTATTCTGCATTTAATTATCAGAACACTTTTCGAAACCTATCAGGAACTATAGAACTCTTTGGAAAAGAGCCAGAACTCTATTAATAACATCAAAATTTTGAAAATGGGGTGCCAGCTTCACAGAGGTGAGGTCACTCAAGATCATGACCTTGACAACATATATATGTTAAGATCAAGGTCATCGGAGCGGGGTCCCCTATTCTGTATATTTCCAAATTTTTTAATTTATTATTAAGTCGAGTAGTTGGTCGAGGTGCTGGTCGAGGTCGTGGTGGAGGTGGTGGTCCAGGTCGTGGTCGAGGTGGAACAACAAACATCTATATTCAATACTAAACGTAAGTATAGTTATTTCAAACTATAGTTCAAATTTCCAATTCAAGATTTTCAATACAAGATGGATATTTGAATGGAAAACTGTTCATAAAACGCCAGCTTTATGTAACATTACATTGAACAGTATGTCTGATACAGAGATTCAAATACATTATTAAGTAAGTGATTTTATTGATAAAACATAACAGAAATATTTTTTATATTCTTGTCTCTGTTGCAGATGCCGTTGTTCCTACTATACTATTTTCTAGTGTGTATGTAAAATGTATTACAAATACAAATCAGAAATATCTTTCAAAATGTCCAAATTTTATATGTAATATTTCTGAAATTAGTCTTTTATTATAGTTATGTTCTATATCCATAATATTTTAATGTTTTTCCCATCAAAAATATGTTTGTGTTCTGTAATGTGTTCAGAAATCACCATACCTGTTGATGTAACCAGTTCTTCAATTCTTCAAACAATAAAATAATAAAAAAGAAAAATTTTTTGTAATTCCATACGTCAAAGGTATCTCAGAAAAGGCTACTACATTTATAAACAGAATAGTTATGTCAATAGGTTATCGTTCTTAATTTTCACAGTTGCAAAGCTGCTTTTTCTGCTGAACGCAGCCATTGATTTCTGAAGACACGGTAATGTCTCATTAGCATTACTCCAGGTGTACCACGAGGACGTTACGCGGTCGGACTTGAAACTTCGTTTTCTGTGTATTAATGTATACATATACCTAATATCAGTGGCAGAAATACAGGTTTTTAGAGAAAGACCTGAAAATTTAAATCGTTACATATAAAAGAGTAAAATAGAGGTTTAAATCTCATTTCATGATCATGAAAGACACCGGATTATTGGAAGAAGCTTATACGAATATTCTAAAAAATATTTCTGACCAATAAAATGTAAATATTTCTGTTATATTTTACCGATTACCGATAAGATCAGTTACTTAATAATATATTTGAATCTCAGTATCACACATATTATTCTCTCAGTCGACACTGTGACTTTAGCAAATTAACATCGTATATTAATTATGGTGAAATTCTTTCCATTGCTGGGGACATGTTAATCGTGACATTACAAGTTTTTATCAGTATAATCTTAAAATAGATAAATTTTAATAAAAAAAAATTATTACATCATATTCAGGCTATTGAAAAAATTGTACTTAACGAGATTCTCAC